AAAAGTATAACGAATGAATATAAAAATTATATCGTTAGATAGAGTTCGACTGTCTGATTCCAACGGTTCAATAGGGTTTCAATTCGAGGAAAGTTGGACCAAAAAGTGTTCCCCGACTGGGACCGAATTAGTCCCAATCAAGGACTTGCGTTTGAAATGGGAAGAAATCGCAGCCAGCTCCACCCAGCCGCCGAAACAGTCGAAGGAGAGCTCATCAACCTGTGTCATCTTCCTCTTCCTTCTCCTATAAAAGGCTACCATAACACCCTCCATTTTTCACCATTTCTTACAAAGTTTCATTCTATTCTGTTGCTGGGAGTGAGGAGAACGCAGTGGTGCTGTCGTATTGGTGTGAGGTCGCCGAAGTTGAGAGCTATCGTCGCTGGAAGTTTCGCCGGAAAATTCTCAAAACCTCACTTACGCTTCAAGGTAAGCCCGTAGATATATCTAATTACTAGAATGTTCATATAGGTCGTTCCTACGTTCATAAATGGTCATTTGGTTGAGTTTTGTGTTTGACATGTTTGAAGAACCAAGAATCATAAACCTTGAATTTGATGTTAAAAATATGTTTTAATAATTCTAATATGATCTATGAACCTTGGAGAACATCTCTATATAGTTTAATTGAAGTTCGGTGACTAAAAATGGTTTTCCCGAAAAATGAACCGAGGTTGAAGACGAATGAACAGTGGCTGAAAATCCACAGAGTGGATCGATCCCCTTCATTGGATCGATCCTCTGGGAGTTTTTTTTCTAGTTGGATCGATCCAGAGGGCTGGATCGATCCTCCGAAACTCTGGTCCGAAAATTTGTTTGAAATTGCTATTTTGAGCTCTAAAATCCTATTTTTGATACCAATTGATTATGATTATTATAAAAATGATTTTTCACAACAAAAATGATGTTTTTAACAAATTAAAACATTATGTGATGCATGACGGTATGTTCGGGTGTTAACACTTGAGACTAGGCCGCTAATTGTTATTAAATGTTATGTTGAATGATCATTATGATGAACTATTATTGTGGCCAATTATGAATGATTAGCTTACTGATTGGTATGATTATTGATTAAATCATGATTAAAAATGGATATAATGATGATTATGAAAATGATGTATATTGTTAAGGATATCTAGAAGAACTCTAAGATATACCCACTTGTATAATGATGATGATTATTAAGGATATCTAGAAGGACTCTAAGATATACCTCTTTGACCAATTCATATATCGGGGTTAAAACGTGCGTACGGGATCCAGAACGGATATCACCCACCCGGCAGTTCACTGTTCGGTTGGTACGTAATCCACATGACTCATAAGGTGGATTATCGATTCTTGTGTTCTGCATTAAACTATTCATAATTTAAGGGCCTGGTTAGAAATGTTGCCTTAGACTAGGAATAGTTAAGAGTTGTTATGAAATGATTTGGCCTTAGATTAAGAATAATTTAAGAGCATTATTGATATATTAAATATCAAATGACTTGGAATAAAATATGGAAAATATTATGAATGTTTGAACCATATATTGTGTGCATGATATCAAATGGTTGATTATGAATTGAGATTCAATTTATGTGGATGTTCGACGCTTTAGATATGCTTACTCAACTTCACCGCTGAGCGTGTAGTGTGTTTTATTTGCTACACGCAGGTAAACAGAAAGATTAATGTGATCCTGGCGGCAGATGGGGCGAGATTGTCGAGATGGATGTGACAAGTTTTGAAATGATTTATGATATGTCAATATTAAATTCGCTTCCGCAATATTGTTAAATACTCCGTACTGTATATGTTATGAAAAATATTATTGAGATTAATAAAGTGTGTTTGAAAAGTTTTAAATTTTATGATTACCAAGTTAAATACTTTAGTCCGAATGAGGCTGCAGACCTGGACGGATTAGGGTGTTACATTGTTTTTCTCAGAAGGTATATTTATTTAATTTTCTTCATAAACAAACTAATGTATTTTCTTTAAAAGTATGAGAAGTATGCTCTGTGATTGCCCAAATTTGGGATCCTTCACATTAGAAAATTATATTTTTGATAAATTAAAACATAGTAGAATTTAGTATAGATTAGCTTTAAAGAAAATTAAAATAAAAATAGAATTCAATTATGAACATACCTTCATACTGTTCTTGAGTTTTTATTTGTTCTTGAAGCATACACACCCTTGATAAAAATAGATAATCTCACTTAATAATATTTTTTTCTCTCCTTTTCTCTCGTTATACGAATTTTTTTTCCTTCTAATTTCGGTTTAAGAATGAAGATGATGATATGGTATGATATAGCATGAATAGAGGTATAAGGAATCATATACAAAGTAAAGCATGTCACTGTTAGAGAATATATTAATATAGTACTCCGTAATATGTAATACTGTTGAGGCCCCATATCAATTCAAAAGAAGTAGACAATTTTTAACTTGTTGTGTTTTATATTCTTCTATTCATTACTTCTAAAAAAAGAATCAAATTTAAATATGGGGTCTATTCATTCAATTCATACGGGTGGTTTCCTTTTCATACCGATATTTGAAAACTATACGCTTGGAATACGTGACTCGATCACAATAGTAAAAATACCATGACTTAAACATTATGTTAAACCTCTCTTTGTGCACTACAAAACGATCGATACAATCAAGCTATCTCTGAGGATTATTATCAATGATATTGTTAGAATCCTAGCAAGGAAATGTATGTGCAACAACCAGAGAAGAAATGACGTCACAAGAACAGGCTGAATCATTCAAGTGAAGATTCCGAACCTATATACGATGTTGGTGTAAGAACTAGTAAAGATTCCTCACTCTATGAATTCATGAATTGAATCACGTACTGAAGATATTATCTTCTTCACTCGAAATGAAATCAACCATAGTGTTACATCAAACCCGTCATTATCAAGAATGTATCTGGATATATTCCAAAATCGATGAAGAAAGTTGAATACGATAAGACGTATATGAAACGCCACTCTAACGTCATCACCTGTGGATACGAATTAATGCAAAGACTCATTAACGATAATGAGATCTACCATGAAGTGAACGAAGAAATGTTTCGGCATAAGGTCGATAAATGACAAGCTACTGTACAACCGATCGACAGTACCTCCTTATAAATGATGACAAATCCCATATTCTGAAAATCCTAAACCAATAAAAGCCATTAGATATTACTTACAAGTCGTTGCTGAACTGTGAACAATGTGAAGATGTTTTGATGACTTAGAAGATTACGCTATGACGTATGAATTAAACAACCTCCAACTGCTCCACTACATCTATCTCGAACTTGAAACAACAAATGCTACTAAAGGACTTTCAATCAAAAGGAGAATATCGTTAACCAACGTTGTACAATTGGAAATTGAGAATGAACGAAGTTTTGTGCAAGTATGTCAAGTATACAACCCTATACACCGCGAAAGAATATTAGTTGTTGATATTGAAGAATCACTAAGTCCCTGGTGGAATTAAAGATTATTAATCTTTTGAAGAAAGAACAAGTTTGATAACATCGACAGTTTGAGAAAACGTATCTGTATGGATAATGACGTAATTATGGTTTAACCAAATGGACATGACACGGTCATGATTAAGTGAGATCACTACGAAATGTTGAAGGTTTGACCTTATA